GTGCTTGTCTGGACCACATAACGTTTTATTGCATTAATAGGTATTGATTGATTTCAGCTTTTTGTGTTTATATATATATATATATATACACACACACACACACACGCACACACATTTTTTATGTGCTCCCCTCTGGGTAGGACTTTGAAGAACGTCGTCAGGCATAAGCAGCCATCGTCCCCCACTGTTTGGAAGGGAATATGTAATGAAAAGAACCTTTTGTTAATAGAAGACGTTTGTCCTTTTGGTTAGTGCAGATTCCCCTGGTGCAGTTTATTGCCTGCTGATGAGTTTGTCAGTGTGTATTGGGATTCATTTCCTCGCACTGGGATAACAGCTACTTAAACTATAGAATGGCTCAATCTCCCCTCTGATCAACGTAAAAGTGTTGTAGGTTGTGAGCGGCGGGTTCAGAGAGCTGACACATCTCATGGGTGATGCGCAGATGTATGCTTCTTGCGTGGAGCAAACCGTGGCAAACATGTGCATGGCAACAGGGCAAGAAAAAGCTGATTGGATCAAGCCATAGCTGGTTTTGCAGGGATGTATTCCGGAGAATAAGGACCTTGAACTATTTCTGTAAAAAGAAAATAAATCCATCTTTCTTTTCTTTCGGTACAAGCATCTGCAGAGCAGCTAGAAGACACACAGTGTTGCATTACAAATGCGGCGAATTGGGAAATCTTTCTGGCTGGTGGACATTTCGGCCCAATTAAGCTAATCTAAAACGATAGGCAGCCGCTGTGCGACGGGTTCTTAGAGGACATTCGGGTTGCGAGCAGCGCGGCAGCGGCTGTGCAAAGACGGGCCATCCCCTGAACACTGAGGGTCAAAGCGGCCATTAACACCGGAACGTGACCCGCTCTGGTGTAACTGAGCAGGTGGGAGGCGCCTGTCAGCCGGCTCGCTCGCTGCACGGCATCCTGGGTAAGCAGGTGCTCCGCAGCCTGTCCCAGATGCTCAGGGGCCGCATGCAGCTGCTGCTTCTCCAACGGACACGCGCCATGCTGCCCCAGCTCTCCTCATCAGGATGGCAGAGGCGCGGCACTGGCTGGGTTGGCGAGCAGCGTGCCCCGCTGGGTCATGCCACTCCAGGAACATTAGCTGCGGTACCCAGCAGCAGAGCCAAGGCGAGCACTGCGGCCTGGATGAAGCCAGTGGGCAGACATGGGATGAAGGGCACATCTTCAAGCAGCCTGTCCTTCAACCTGGTCCTTGCTGTATTACGGAAAGGCAGAATATGGGCGTTTGGGCCGCCAGAGGTTAGCCAGAGCGCTGTGAAAGGCACACATTTCACTTGTGAACATTTCAGCAGTTCAGTGTTCCTGTCTGTAAGATGACAGTTTTCTGATTAGTCACTTTTCAGATTAATCATGCTTTTATTTGCAGGAAAAGCTAAATTACTGCCTGTCTAAGAAGAAAATGTCAAGATTTCCTGCACTCGTATGTTTTAAATAAATGAACAAATAAGTAGATAACTGCATCAATATTCTCGTTAGTCATAAAAATTATATATAATCATTCTATGTTGTTATTACAGAACTAATTAGAGCAGTTTTCTAGCAAACAGGTTGTGCTGGACTGACCGATGTATTACATTTTTGTTACAAGTGAATGCACGCAGTGCACCTTCTTCAGAAAACCCCAGTAGTTATCGATTGCAGCAAAGTTTTTTTGGGCTGCCTTGAGCTGAGCATTGAACAGAGAGAGAAAATGAACTAAGTGAAGTTGTGACCCGCAGGAAATGCAAAGTTGCAGGGGGCAGGGGGGAGAGGAAAAAGTCAGGGCGGTGACATGTCTCTCAGCAGTCATCGGCTTTAGCCATGTCCAGTTGATTTTGGCACCATAATGTCACCTCAACCCCCCTACAGTCCATAAATGGGCTATACCAGGGGAGACAGCTTTGCCTGTCCACACAATTGAGGCAATCGAACAGAACAGAAGGAGGTTGTGGGCTGGAATACTCCGGAACCTGGCTTCTGCAAGCGCCGTGCTCCGTGGAGGAGACACAGGGTGAAAAACGAGATTCTAATGAAGGATCTGGCCGCAGCTCCTAATGGGTCTGTTTGTGCATTAGGCCGCTGCTCCGCCTTCGGGTTCCCGGTGCCGCTAGATCGAATGAAATGTGAGCGGCCCGCTTCTTTCCATGGAAGGGGGGCTTTGAGTCGCCTGGTCCTGATCCGAGATCGCATGTTAACAGGACACCCTTGGATCATTTGCTGTTACGGTTAGTGATGTTCTGAAGCCGTCATGAATGATTGGAGGATGCTGCCATATTTTGCGTTATGTCTAACATAAAACTACTTCCTGGCACGTCAATAAAGAGGAACCTGTTAAATGTCTACAAGCAATGTCTTTTTTCTTTTTTTTAGCTGAGAGCCTGCTGTTTATTAAACTCGTGCTTATAGCTACAGTACCTCCCCATTCTCTATAATTCAGATGTAATATTCCAACTATATGCAGGCGTATACTATGGGGAAAGAATACAATATACTTGTTTCATATTTCCTAATGTAATTTGTAGTGTATTAACTGTATGGCTCAAGGTCAAAGAAATACACAACGCATTAATAATCAATAAGCTAGTTCCTGTTTGAATACATAAATGCTCCGATATTTATTATTTATTCCCTGAAATGTTTTTGCTGAATTGACAATGAGTTTGAATGTGGAGGGTAAAATACAAAAGGGGAGTGAATGTAATAGACACAGCCCTATGTGCGACAGGGTGGAATTCCCAAGCACGGCGTCAGTGTCATACGCTCCCGAGAAAGCCGCTCTTCGACTTCAAAGCCCCTATACCTGGCTTGGGACCTGAGGGCGATGGGCAGGAACTTGGACGATTGGGGTCGAGACACTGAGTGCTTCTCAGCTAGTCGTCCATTCCCACGCTGGGTACTGAAGGACGAGATGCAGCTCCCAGCTGAACAGGACAATCCGTATTTTCACACAGGGATTTGATCATAAATCCCATTCCTTTTCATTAAGTCTGCACTGGGAGACCTCTCTTTCCCCCGTCGAAATACCTCAAAAAAATGGTCAGACTGCCATCCATAGTCTTATTTTACATCCTTTAAGTATTCTTCACTCCGTCCTCTTTACGGCTTACAGAACCGGTCCAAAGCAGTGACCGAACCGTTGACCTGTGGCTCACAGCGATTGCTGCGGTCTGTGATCACGGAGCAGCCAGAAGCATTAAAAAGAAGAAGAAATGCTATCAAAGTGTCCAAGCAGTAAGACAGTAAGATAAATGCGAAGCAGGTCACTTCTGTGCTGTAGCCAAAGGGCATTAAGCTTAAAGGCTGGGTGCATCCTTAAACGCTGCCATCATCCCGAAGTAATTACGGCTGTCTGTGTGGTGCATTTACACCCAAAAGGAAGGCAGTGCAGAGCCCTGTGTTGAAGGTGCATGTGTGGTTTAATGACCTCTCCGGATGTTAAATATGAAAAGTGCAGTACTTTGAAGGATCGTAGCTAAATAACTTGGTTTTGTGCCACTGCGAATCCTTCAGTGTGTGCACGTTAATATGTGCGATGACCTGTGGGTGTCGTGGAAGCCTTCATTGGACCTACGAAGGCAGTTCCTCTTGGGCAAAACAGAGATGCATCTCTGAGGAGTCCTCATGTCACTTCCAGTTTGTCATTTGCACATGAGGCCGTTCATGACGTAGAAGCCGTGGCTCACCCAAGAAAGGAGCACCTAGCCTTTGCTGTGACAGGCCGGCAAACAGCCAAGTTGCCCTGCCCATAAAGGCATCTTAAAATTCCAATCTAGAGCTTAAAAAACAGCAATTGAATACAAAATGTATATTGACCTCTCAATAGTTTAGTTGTGACAGTCTTTGAATAGTTATTTAGTATTGTCTCTCAGTGCAAACAGCGAACGACATTCGTATAAATGAGAGAGTATTGTACATGTTGATCAGTTGGTACTCTGATATGTTACTGTAACCAGTAACCAACCAAAGACTTGGTTCTTGTTACTTGATACTGATCTGCACTGCAAAGAATGAAGAATATTCTGTCGAAAACAAAATGCCTTTTGCCATTAGTAATGATTTTGAAACTGATGCTGATTTCTAGCGACTCTCAGGCTTCCCCATTGCTAGATCTGGATATTTTACTGGAGCAAGTTAAGTACTGAGATTAAAGAAGAGAAAATACCCTGCAGAGGCTTAAAAGGGCAGGCATCAAGTCACTTTTCCTTTGTCAGAACTCTGTGGCCCAGCTTTCTTTAATGCCGAAGCCTTGTTGGTGGTCAGTGTTTTCAGGATTTTTGGTTTGTAAATACCATGGTGGGGCTGGGGGACAGATCAGACGATCCGTTTATATGTAAGGTTTTTCATGTTAGTAGTGGATGAGCGCATTAATTCATATGCTTTTTATACAGCCGACAAGGCTGTATAAGTGTTTTTTTTTCTCACGATGTAATGTATCAAATACAAAGATTAGACTTGAGGTCAACCACCACATCTTAGTTTTGATTGCTGCTATACTTTTCTTTAAGTATTCCTTGTGTTTTCTCTGCACAGGATCAGTTGGACACATCAAATAAAAGTCTGAAAAAAATAACAACCCGGTTGTTTTTTCTCTCTTTTTTGAAATGAGATGAAAGGCCTGCACAAACAGAAACTCACTTGGTTATTCTATGTTGCTTGTCTGATTTGGGAGGTCTTCAAAGCCCCGTGACACAAATTTATGATACCAGTGGTGCTACTTTGCCAAAATGCTTCCCCTTCTCTTCATCCCAGTTCAGAGTATGTTGTGAGTTCTCTCTAAATTCCATCGTACATCGATGGTTAATACCAAAGGCTAAAAAACAGACCTTATTTACTTCAAAGAGTATGTTTTTCCTGTTTTTTTTTCCCTTTCGTTTACTTTATCAGTATATACAGCTATTTGTACGTGGAAGTGTATTGCATGTGACAGTCTGATAGTGTTGTGAAGACAGCAGGGATTAATATATGTAAAGTTTACTTGTTCCCTCTCTTGTTCCACAGAACATGAAGAGTGTGTTAATTGCACAGATGAATGCCGAGTGCTAGGTCACTCCGATAGGTGCTGGATGCCACAGTTCCCAGGAACGGGAAACCAGGCAGAAGGTGCAGACTACCGCACAAACCTTTTCGTACCAGCCGGGATGGAGACACTGTTGGAGACAGAGACCTGCGAGACCATCAATCCCAACGGGAAAAAGACATTCTGCACTTTTGGCAAGGAAAGGCGTGACCACACCATTCTGGTAGCCAATGTCAAACCGTACTTAAAAGCCAAGCGTGCCCTCAGCCCTCTACTGCAGGAGGTTCCGTCTGCATCAAGCAGCCCCACCAAAATGTGCACGGCTCCCTGTACGTCCAGCCAAGTTCTCACAGACGGAGGTGATGGCCAGTCGGGAAGCAGCCAGTACGGACCCCCGGACGGACAGTGCGTGTCACCAAATAAACAGCTGAAGGACTCGCCCTATCTGCCCCCCGACTTCATGTCCAAGACCCTGCTGGACGTCGCGTCCCGAGTCGGTCAGGACTCGTGCGAGATGGACTGCGTGCTGGAGCAGTTGGACCGTGGCACCTTTGAGCGGCGCCAGGATGCTGCCGATTCGGGCCAGGTAGCCCAGGACATTGACAAGCTCTTGCAGGACTGCCAGGGAGGGAACAAAGCCACATCAGTGCAGAAGTGAAGCTTAGAAAACTGCACACAAACACAGAAAGGGACAAATGCTGGTATTTCAAACAGGAGTGAACAGGACAAAGCCATTTGCAGTTAGAGATGGTGCTGTCCGACACGGGGGGTGTGTGGGGGGGGGGGGGGGGGGGGGGGGGGGGGGGGGGGGGGGGGGGGGGGGGGGGGGGTTTGAGAGGTAGAAGAACGGCTTTCTAATTCACATCTTAAGTGCCCACCAGCTCTAAACTTTCACCTAAATCGCCCCGACCATTCGTTCACATATGGCAGAAGACATGGAAGAAAGCATCCACAGAGATGTCTGCAGAGATAGCTGTTAATTGTGACAATCGATGTAAACGCAGAAGCGTTCACCCCCCCTCCCCCACCCCTGTGCGGTCTACGTGACCAAGAAACGTGTATCTTCTCATATTTGGTGATTATTGATGTTTGACAAGCAAAAAGTCGTCTTCTGTTCAAGTTTGGTGAGAAAGAAGAAAAGTTACCATTCTTCATCCACTATTAATAATTGTCTGTGTAAGCTGTGTTCCCTATTTATCTGATACATAGTACATTCCAGATTGGTGAATAAATAAAGAAAAGACACACATTGGTGGTTGTGTAAGCTACCCATTCCTCATGAGTTCCCAAGTATAGTGATGTCCACCTGTCTCACCCTCACACTTCCTGTAAATAAGGGACTTGTTTCCTCTGCTCTGAGAAGATGTGTAAGCCATGTGAAAGCCAAAACACTTTTGTTATTTTGTGGAAGGTACTGTATAATCCAGTTAATAACAAAAATGTTCCTGTTGCTTGTAAAAAATTGACAAAAGTTTACGTGCTGAAGTCTGGTGTTCATCTGTAAACTTTAGAGGAAACCGCTGCGACTTTGACCTGAAGCTAAAAGGGATGGTCCCTTTGCATTGTCACAACACACAGTCTCATCTAATGTATACAGTTTAATGTGTTTACATCCCAATAACATATACTATTGATTTATTGCAATTTCTGTGCATATGAGCCAAATTGTCAAGTGTATAAGAGCTATATTGTGTATTTTATTAAATTAATATATAGTTGTGTTGCAATATACATGGGCTTATATTGTATTTGGCAGATGTTGCCTAAGTAGCCGTCGAACTCTATGAGTTTATTTTCCGTTCCTCTGCTCCTCATTCCACAGGATTGGGTAGCAGTCCTTCCAGAGCAGAGCCTGGGGTACATAAACTGCTCAAACGCACGCGAGCCAACCTTCAGAGAAACAATAGCCACATGTGTAAGTCCGTCTCACTAGGCTAAACCATTCCAAGGCAGCTAAATACCATTTTAAATGTGTTTGTTTTTAAAGGGGATAACCTGACATGTGCAGTTCACAGCAGACCTCTGTACTCATGTCACAAGCACCACACGGGATCTACAGTTATATCGGAGAAGGCAGTCTTATTTTTTTTTTTTTCTTCTTTTGATATATAAGGACCAAAATGGTTCCTTTTGAGCAGTTTATGTATTTTGTGTAAGTACTTTATCATGTTCACAGTTACTACACATTTGATCCTACCTGTAACCACAACTCCTGGTCTTATTTTGTACCTTTTTTCTTTCCTTTGCTAAGCTCTGTTGTAGTACGTGGAGCAGAATTTGCATTGCTCATTAAAATTGTGTACAACAAGGTAGATCATTCACTTCTTTACTTTCTCGCATTGACAGCATTCCTTTTGAATTATAAAATGAGATATCACTCATTTTACAACCTGTAAAAAATTGCAGAAAAGGCCCAATTTGAATCTGAATATCATAATGCACTATAAGAATATACATAATAGCCATAGAAATTGCATAGATTCTTGGCCATAAATGCTCTGGTGTGTTTATTATGGTTAAGCTCTATGCAGAAAAATAGCAAAATCCACTGGCAAAAATGATCATTCTGCAAATGCTCTGTAGTCCAACATTAGACTGATGAGTCTGACTCAAGTGATATGTGGTCTATGAATTCCATTTGTTTTTCAAAAAATCCCTTTCCCTCCAAATCCACACATATCTCCAAAAATATAGAATCCAGCTTGCAGGAATATTCTTCATGTCACGTCCTGCCCGCCACGTCCGCCTGACCCTCCTGTCTCCCCCCTCACGTGGCCCTCATGAGCCACGCCTGTTGCTTGTTACCCCTCGTCAGTCAATATATTTCAGTACCTGTTCGTCGCTAGTCTGGTTTTTTCCACCAGTCCTCGTGTTGCTTGTGTCCGTCCTAAAGTAAGTGTAGACCTCTTGGGGTCCAGTTTGTTTCCCTATTCTTGTTTTGCCAATAAAGCCCCTTTTGTTTTCCTGAACACCTACCCTTGAGTCCTTCGTCCCTCGTATTATGACACTTCAATTTATTATTGGTCTGTCTTTTTTTTCAGTGGGGGGGGGTATTTTATGTTGTCTTTTTTAATGAGATGATACGTCACAGTCAGCACCTTTGGGATATGGTGCGCTGCAACAAACACAGATCTCCATTCTGCAAAAAGATAACAGAATTATTTTTTTCTTTCTGCACTGACCATCATATTTTATTTAACTCCATATTTTATTTAAACTAGTTAAATGTGTGCTTTGGAGCTGGTAGCTAAAAGCCATAGTATTTGAATTTTGCTTCTGAGAGTGTCTTTACTGAATTTCATTTTTTTCCTTCATCTCTAGTGTATCCTTAATGTGATTCTACCCTCAGGCATTTTGCAACTCTTTATTGACATCATTTCAACTTGAAAATGTGGACTTTCTTTTATAATATTCTATAGTTTCATGCTTAGCTAAGGGTTTGTGTTCATTTTTGAGCCTGATAAGATGGGGGAATTAACAGTGGCTTCCAGTGGAGTGTAAGGCATGTCCCATTATTGTTGGGTTTCAGACTTTTGCTGTGTAGCAGAGTGTAAATTGGTGAAACCAGCATGTAGTTCGAAATCTAACATAATGTCCACCTCTTTGTTGACACACTTGGTGTTGGCAAGTATTAATGCTGTAGAGGATTGGCAATTCTGGCTGTGCTGATTTGGACTGTGGACTGAAACTCAGTTGAGATGCTGATTTCCTCGTCCCCCTTCAGAGAGCGGAGCTTTCGGGCCAGCAGGTTTTCAGGCCTCATCTGTCGGGCTCCGTGTCCCTGCTCATCACTGCGGAGGAGGGGCAGGGACAACGACACCATTGCATCAATGATCTCAACTGCTATCGCCTAACAGCTCTGTTTGACGTTATTGATCTTAAAGAAATAATAATAATAAAAAAAACAAATACTAATGCAGCTGTTTTCCTCTCATTACTTTGGAAGGTTTGTGTGATTTTATGAAAAGCTGTGTTTTCAGGACTGTATTTTTTTTAAACTTCCTTTGCACCAACAAGAACGCAGTCTTAAGAAAACAAATTATCTTTGTAATTTTCAGTTAGGGCAGGGTTATTCAACTCACGGTCCTCGAGGTCTGAGCACTGCTGGTTTTCCAGCCTTCCTTTACCTGTCAGTCAGGTGTGAAGCCTCTGACTAATCAGAATCAGTAATTATTAAACTAACTACCTGGGAGAACTGAAAACACGGCCTGAATTTGGAATCGAGGTCCAGAGTTGAAGAACCCTGAGTTAGGGGCTTATCTTAGTCCAGTGAGTGAACAGCGGAGGCGGGGCGACCTCTGTCTCCCAGTCAGGTGACTCCCGCATTACTCTTGATTGGTTCCACCTGCTTCTCATTCCCTTTTGTCTCAAAATATTATCATGATTTTTTGACAGTGGCTTTGGACCTGAACCTCACGTCAGAAATATACCTTGATGGTAAAAGATCCTGACATGTGAAGTGTTTCATCTGTTTCCTCTTCCCTTACGAAATGGTTAGTTAAATATTTCATTTAATTTTTGCTGCCTGTTTTTTCCGTCACTCTCATGCACCCTAAGAAGGAAATTTCTGTTAGTAAAACTAATCTTCCTTAACCTCCCATGTCATATAGTTCTGTTCGCCAAATCCCTCCAATCCATCCCACGTCAATTATCACTGTTGAAATTATTCCAGCATTTCTTCGGAGAAGTCAATGGGTCCTGGTTTCACGCTATGCTTTAGCTTTTCTTTTCTGGTGTTTCCATCCCACAGCAAGTTAGAATTTCCAGCTAGATCAATAGTACTTGCATAACTGCTAATAGCTAGTTCCTGCTAACACTGCATATTATTGATTTGCTCTGTCAAAGAAACATATACCAACTACATACATGCATTTATATATGAAAAATACTGCTGATATTTTATGAATAGAAATTCAAATGAAGAATATGTTGTCCCATCAATTTGGAGCTTATGAATCCGGAAGTATCTTTAGATATGATTCTGCACTCCCTAAGCTCTGCATTGAATAAGTTAGGGTTATGTAACATGGATGATGTTGTGCTATGTTGTTTTAAACAGTTGTTTATTCACTTCATGTACAAACTGGCAACTCTTTTAATGATTATTTCACAAACCATACCAGTTTTTTTGCATTTGAAAATAATATTAATGCACATTAAATTGGGAGCCAATGTTTTGACTGGACGAAAAGGCAGATGTGGAAGCACACAGCAATGCAGCATAAACACTGCTGAATGGTCCTGCATAGCTGGTTCTTCAAAGTCTGGCAGGAAATCAAAGGACATCAACTACTGCAAGTATATCAGGATGACGCTGAAGCAACAGGGGACAGCCGTGGATGAGCCATGTGAGCTGAGAAGGTATCTAAGTCTGTCGATGATGGCAGCCTCTTTAGAGTGTTCTACAGAAAATGAAAGCACCCTATCCAGCAATACGCTAAATCACACAGCCAGTATGCATAACAAAATATTACATGTTGTTCGGATTCTATTTTTATATTGGAAAACAGATCACAAGAAAGGCAACAGGAACAAAGAAGACAAACGGGATAGTAATCATTCCATTTTTAAGCAGCTTATTTGCTAAGTGGTTTGAACTGTAATAACTGTATTTAATTAAAAGTACTAAAATCATCATCCGTGCTTAAAAATATCGTAAAGGGCATCCAGTATGATCGACCAAAATAACATGAGTTTCAACACTGAGTTATTTTAATAGTCTCTTCTGAGCGATACCTCTGGAAAGCAGAGTCTCTAAGAAGC